TAATGCTGAGCTCCTCAAGAAAGAGACTGCGCCAGGCCATGTCTAGAACAGTTACCTTCACATCAGATGTTGGCTTGACTTTGCAAAAGACTCTGATTGGAAGCTGTATCATGGCTGACTATTTGAGAATCACAAAGGCAGAGTATCAGTTTCGTAGCTTTGGACTGGAGACGGAGGCAGAGGATACTCTGAGAATTTCACAAGGCGCAGACTGGGGAGGGGTAGCATGTCCTGATGGCTCGACCAGAGCACATGTACCATGGCCATGAGTTCCCATAGCACGCACACTGAGGTGGTGCTTCTCCTGAACAGCTTTGTGCATCAGGTTGCTCAGATTCCATGCTGGGTATTTGGTTTCCTGATTTTTTTTTTTTTTTACACATGTGCTTCTCTCTTATGGGGCTCTTTGTTGGTAGGGCTGTGTCTTAGTGGTTTGGTCACCACAGTGCCTAGCATGGTGATGGGTACATGACAAGCAATCAATAAATTTTATGCAATAAAGTTTTTGAGCTACCCTGGGATGCTGTTTTTCCCATGTCTTTACCTATTGACATTTTATTACTTCTAAGGACATAGCAAGGTGGGGAAGAGGGAGGTTTGGCAACCCCCAGTTCTACCCCACATAGCTGAGTTCTCCAATAGTGATGCCTTACCATTTGGTGAGGCAAATAGGGAAGGTGATCAAAAGGCAGCATCTTAGAAAAAAATGTTTTAATGTATTTGTTCCCGATAGCAGATGCTATTCATGCTGAAGATACTGAGCCAAACAAACATTTTGCAAAGATAATCCTGTTTCATACTCTACAAAAGCCTGTGAGCTGGGTATTGTTATTTCCATTTTATAGATGAGAAGGCTGAAGCTGAGAAAAGTTAAGAGACTGCCTAAGATCAGCCAGCTACTAGGTGGTGGAACCCAAGCTGGCACTCAGATCTATTGCAGATGTCAACTGGAGCCAGATGGACGGGGTTCAAATCATAGCTCCCCACATAAATAACTGTGTGACCTTGGGCAAGTTACTTAATCTCTCTGTGCCACACTTTTCTCATTTGTGAAATGGGAATAATGATAGTACCTACCTCAAAAGGTGCAGTGAAAATTTACTGAGATAAGTAATGTGTCTGGAGTACCTCTAACAGTGCCAATGCCAATGGTAGTTATTACTATTATCTTAATGCAAAGTTTGCACCTCCATCTTTTACTTCCTTAAGGTCCTATCTGTCTTCCTAATTTTAAGTTTTGAGGGCCCGGAGCATAGCTCTCGGCTAATTTCCAGATATGGGAAAATGTGTCGGTTCGAGCAAATTGTACAATGAAATGATAGCTTTCATGTTATCGGTTACTATTTATTGCACTTGAACTATGGAAACGAGCCTTATTTCTGTTCAGAAGACTACATTTTCAAAGGTAAACCCAGTACAATTTTAGCCTACCCATTGCCTCAGAAGGCTGCTTACAGAACTCGTTTGCAGAAAGAACTGAAAAACTTGATAAATATGAAGTGTGCTGTTATTTCTAAACCAAAATGACATTCGTTTCTAGCTTGGGCTGAGAGACTGACTTCTTCTCACTGAATTGTAAGAGTAGTTTGTTTTTTTATAGTTTCTCTTTCTGAAAGGGTGCTTTTTGTGTGTGTGAAAAATACTTATCAACAGTAGTTGTAAGTTAAAAATAGCTTTAGCTGCTGGGTGGGGCAGGGGCTGGAATCAACCAAATCTGTTGGCTAACCCTGTCCAAGTTAGAGGGAATTTTATGAAGGAAGGGCTGGAGGAACTAAGTGTATTAAATTCAACCGGTCAGTGTTGTCACAAGGAATGTATGTTCATGCCACAACAATTTGCATATGACCTTATACCCAGTCCCTCTAGGGTGGGGCACCCTTGAAACAGTGTGAAATAAGTCAGTTAGGTGTGTTTGAGCAGCAACTGCTGGCTGTGTGTTATTTTTGGGGCTCTGGCTGCCACAAGTCCTGCCAACTAAATTAAAGTTGTTCAGACACATGTCACTGAAAATATTCTCATTAGTTTAATGAGAATCATTTGGTATTCCTCAAGTGTGGCCTTGGCTGTGTTTTTGAGAGAGGGTCAAGGACATTTTGCTGTAATCCTCCTTCTTTCATAGCCCAATTGTTGAATTTTAATGAAAGTTTTTTATTTTTATTTTAATAAGAGGCAAAAATAACTTTGAGACAAGACTGCTAACTTTTGTGTAACATAGAGAACTGAATGAAGCCACAACATGTCCACCAGTTGCTCAGACTTCCAGTGTCTTTTTTAAAAACACAAATTTTAAAATGAGGATGTTAAATTTGTTATGGTAAATCTTTATGTTAAATTTGTTATGGAGGAACAGCTTTAAATATTACACTAGTGCCTGAAATTGGTTAAAGCAAGCTTATCTATAATCTTTCAAGTGGTATTTTTAATCCCCATTTTACAGACAAAGAGACTGAGGCTCAGAAATGCTAACCACTTACTCAAAGGTCTGCTTAAAAATCAAAACAAACTTTTGGAGATAACCTAGTTCAGTCCCCTCCTTTTACCCATGAGGAGACCAAGGCTCAAAGAAGAGAGACTCACTTGAACACAGAGCCAGTTAGTAGCAGTTCTGGGAACTGGACACCATGAGACCAAGCCGAAGGGGCTAGAATATTCCATTAATCTTGCTGTACTGACCAATGCCTTGAGAAATGTAAATTTCAAAGTAAAATTCAAATGTTATGATTTACACATTCCAGTGATCTGATTTTATCAGGACTTCTCATCAATGGGTTCGGTTCACAGAGTACAAGAAAAACAATAATAGGTATTTGAGTCCCTAAAGAGGCTACTATTCAAAGTCAGCCAGAATCCTAGAGAAATAGCAGATTTGAACAATCAGATGCTTTGTAAGTCCTTACCTGACCATCAGATTGAATGCAGATAGATCTGCAGCTTGTTATATTTTTACAAATTGTAATTACTGCCTGTTTTGACTTGTCAACCCTAATGATTCAAGGAATGGTTTGGGAGTCATGTGAAGTGTGTGTCCTCATATGCATCAGCTATAGATTTGTCAAATTCTTGAGAAGTCACTTAACCTGTTCAGTTTTTTACATTTATATACACATGTGTTATAGAGATGGTTGTATGATTATATGACATCATTAGCTGAAGGATGATCATTAACAATAATTACAAATTTTCACTGGGAAATAGAATAACACAATTCTCCCCTGTCATTTTTCTTGGGTAGTTTGCTTATCTCTGCCTGTCTTAAACCCATCATTTCCTCATAGAAAGCAAAAGTCTACAGATATATTCTACTCACTGCTGTGTGCTTGATGCCCAGGACAAATGAGGAGTCAGTGTATGTGGAATTGAATTTCAAAGTTGTAGCCTAGAAATCGTGGTCCATGAACTGAAAACCATTTTACTGTTTGTCTTAGATGATTCAATAAAAATAACAGTAACTCACAATTACTTCTAAACAACAGTACATTCATTTCAGTAAGAAGAAAGTAATTTAAAAGGAAGTACAGAATGTTCATCTTCTTTCCCATTCTGACTACTGCTTAAGAAATTCAGCCCCTGAAGGGACATAATATTTTCAACCAGGGTTTACCGTTGATGGTAATTTAAGAAATAATTTAGT